GAATGGTGCTGTTGGATACAATTATGTGGCATTTTTCCACCCATACTATTTCACATTCTACATCTTTCACTAGCCAGACAATGGCTTTAAAGGCTCCTATCCCATGGCATGTTGCGGCATAAGTTTCCTTTCTTTATGCCATCAGAGTTTCTGTTGCATCTCACCTTCTCTCTAAGCCTTTTGCACTACTTTTTGTTGGAGAGGAACATATGGTCTAAATTATTATGATCCATATAAATCACAAAGACTAAAATTTCACTCAAATGGATCAACTATTTAGTTGTCCCACTTAAAGATAATAAATCACAGCAGCACCAGAAACCTTTTAAGGAATAAAAATTGTTGATTACAAAGCTATTGCTCACCTCGAGAAATCAGAAGAAATCTTCACAATGTCTACTAATGAAAACAACTTAGAATGCAGCAGGAAATAAACAGATCAACTTGCATAATATGTAGAGTCTTTCACATTAAGTAAATTTACAGTATGAACTTTCAACCTAATGTTATTTATACAAGAATAAAAACAAGTATAACACATACTATATACCTATTATATGCAGTAAGCCTAATCATTAGAACAATTTTGAAAGGTTTACAAGATTACAAAGAGAGAAATTCTCTTGAATATAAAAACACAGCATGATGGGTTCTGAGAGCCTTATTAAGCCATTTTTGTTATGTCACAGGCCAAAGGAATTGAGATCCATTTCCCTGACTCTTCAAAGACCCCCTTCAGGGCTCTCCAGTTGCTACTGTGGCAGCTGTCAATCAGAAGGGCACAGATCCTCAAAAGCAGGGCTGCCCAGAGCGGGGGGCAAGTGGGGCAATTTGCCCCAGGCCCTGGGCCCCGCAGGGGCCCCGTGAGCCCTGGTCTGGCAGCGGTCTGGGTCTTTGGCGGCATTTTGGCGGCGGGTCCTTCAGTGCTGCTGAAGATGCGGAGTGACTGAAGGGCCTCCCTGCCGCTGAAATGCCGCTGAAGACCCGGACCGCCGCTGGGTGAGTACAAGCGCCGCAGCTCCCCCGCTTTGCCCCAGGCCCCCTGAATCCTCTGGGTGGCCCTGCTCAAAAGTATTTAGGTGCCTATCTGTCTCCTTAGGAGCCTAAGCCCACTGTTTAGGCACCACTAACATTTTCAAAACCACCACTCAGCTGCCGCCTAACCCCATAGGTGCCTCAGTCTCCTAGGAGCCTAAGTTTCTGCCAGTCGGCATTTGCTGTCACCTAAGTCCTGACACCATCCCACAGTAATGAACAGCTCCAACCATTAGCTCATGCTAAAGCCCAGGAGGTCCCTAAGCGGGATTCTCAAACTAGCCAGAGGATTGTCTATTTTGCCAGTGGGACCTGATCCCATAGGCATGCTCTGACCAAGCCTAAGACCTGATGCCTGTCAAAATCCTGCAGCAGGAGGAATGTAGGCCACCATTACATGGGGGGATAGCACAGCACTTGCACAAAAGGCTGAGCTGGGAGCACAGGAAAACATAGGACAAGCATGAGAGAAGTACTGAGCAGGAGACTAAGAAAGAGATGGTTTTGATTACTAGGGCAAGGGCCAGCCTGACTTGGAGAGGGTTTGCAGGAGAGGGTTTGCAGCTGAGGATCCTGAGTGGACGGAGGTGCCTATTTTTGGCCTATCAGCCAAGTGCACCAGGCAAGCTGCCTAGGAGTCTATACCCTCTCCTCTTTCTCCTCAGAATTTCACGTGGGCTCGTTTGGCTGCTCCCCATTCAGCTTGCTGGCTTCTGAGGATCTCTTTCCTAGGCACCTAACTCTCCCCATTCCTTGTATGGGGAGCCTGGGTGCCCAGCTTGGGGCTGAAGATTCCACTAGGTGGCGGGCCTCCTTGGTGTTGGGTGTTACAATGCTGAGTGGAACAACACCTAAATACATTTGAGGCTCTGGGCCAGGTTCCTGAGGAGAGCAGAATGCCTTTCCCAGTCACATTTATTTCCCTGCTCTTCAAGTCAAATACCATTAAAATTGATACTGTACATAAAATTCTTAAAATGCCAAAATGTATCTAAAATGCTTCACTAAACATAATCACAGCATCTGTGAAGAATTCTTGTCAATTCATTAGTGCAGCAAATGGTATATTTTCTCTACCTCTTCAGTCTCTCCAATTTGGCCAGATGGGCAAAAGTGTTAAAAAGAGTTGAAGTGCTGCACCTATTTCTTTATATGAAATATCAGGTATTAGACCAGCTCATGATCAAACAAAAAGAAATTACTTCAGTGCATTTGAATCTTAATACCTCAAAGGCTTCTTAAAACATAATGTGGCAAATCCTTCACTTTGCCCCTGCTACTTGGTCATCACATATTTTAAGATGAGAATATGTCACTGCGACACTGCTGAGTAATTTTATTCCAATATGGCTCATGCAACTGCAGATCTCAATTTGTCATTTTTATCTATGGTCATATATAATGCTGCTAGCCTCTAAATTTACTCAACAGCTCACTGGACATGTTTTTAGGTCTCTAATTGTCTTTATCTATCTGCAGAGGCGTCGACTTTGTCCTTTCCCCAGAGGGTTCTTGACCCCCTGCTCTGCCCTTCAGACCCCGCCCCCACCCCTGCTCCTTCCCACCCTGCATCTTCCAGCCCCGCCCCTGCCTCTCCCCCCCCATTCTGTCCCTCCCCCGAGCACGCCCTGCCCTCTCTCCTCCCCTTCACCCCAGCACCTCCTGCACGACACTAAACAGCTGATCCGCGGTGGGTGGGAGGCGCTGGGAGGGAGAAGGAGGTGCTGATCGGCAGGGCCCGCCGGTGGGCAGGAGGTGCTGGGGGGAAGGGGGAGAAGCTGATGGGGGGCTGCCGGTGGGTGCTGAACACCCACCATTTTTTTCCTGTGGGTGCTCCAGACCCAGAGCACCTACGGAGTTGGCACTTATGTCTATCTGCAAAGCCATATCATAATCTGTCAATTTTTTTTCCAGGTGAGGTTCTGAGCTCTTAGAGGGGGTAGTGCTTCTGGAAGTTCCTATAAACAGGAAACTCTGGTATAGTTTAGATGGACTTGAAATATTTTAGCTGTTCCACTTAATATAAAAATTCCACAAGCCGGATAGTAGTCTAGAAATGAGGCTCTAGCAGCTGAACTCTAATGCAAGTAATGATCCAAAGATAGCTATTGACACTGCAACCATTTCCTTGAATCAATTTGATAGTAATACATATCCTCTTGCTGTATAGATCTTTGCAACAATGGCTTTAAAAATTTGTAGTGCAGCTTGAGGAACATCAACAATGAGTTTTTAAGTGAAACTCTCAGCTTTTTTTTTTTTTAAAGTTTTTTCATTCTCATGGTTGCAGAGAAAGTCTTGAAAATGTGAATTTAGTATTGTCAGTCACAAACATCCAAGAATCATGAGTCTGGGCCCCCAAATTATGAAATTGTCTTAAAAATCATGTGATTTTTTAAAATGTAATAATAAATTTTAAATAAATAAATAATTTTTTGTGTGTTTTTTATTTGCCTTTTGTTTTATGAGCCTTTATTGTTCACTTGTCACACTTCCATGCTTTTCTTTGTAATCACGAGGGCTAGAAACTTACTTTTTTAATGAAAGTAGAGAGTCTTGCATAATCACACTTGTCTCCAGGACCACTGGGCTTAAATTAAGCAAGACTTATAAAACTACGAGAGCTGGCAATACTGGGAATCCTAATGCCTCAAAAACCAGAAGACAGAAAGAATACAAAGGCCCAGATCCTCTAAGGTATTTAAGCACCTAATTCCTTCTGAAATCATTGGATTTAGGCAGCTAAATGCCTGTGAGGATCTGGGCCAAAATGTATTATTTTTTAAATCTTATGTTATTTAAAACAAACTCACGATTTTTTTTATGACATATGATATGTTAGAATGGGAAAAGGTACTGAGAAGGGCAGCAAAAATGATGAGGGATATGGAACAGCTTCCATACAAGGAGACATTAAAAAGATTGGGATTATTTAGCTTAGAAAAGAAACCACTAAGAGGGGATGGTATGGAGAATAGTGAATTGTTATTTAGCCCTTCACATAAGAACATGGGGTCACCCTATGAAATTAATAAGCATCAGATTTAAAACAAACATAAGGAAGTACTTCATACTATGTGGAACATGGAACTCTTTGCTGGGGACCTTGTGAAGGCCAAAAATATAACTGGGTTAAAAAAAGAATTAGTTAAATTTATAGAGGATAGGTCCATCAATGGCTTAGCCAAGATAGTCAGGGAGGCAAACCCCATGCTCCAGGTGTCCCTGAATTTCAAACTGTCAGATGCTGGAACTGAATGACCGTTGATGGGATGCATCACTCAAAATTGCCCTGTTCTTTACATTCCTTTGAAGCACCCGGACCATTGGTCTGATGCATAATAGCCATGCTTATAATTTTAGAATGCCTGATCATGGGCAATTTCATTCCGCCATATGGAGGTTCTTGTACCAGGCCTCATCACTGTAGGATCTGAGCACCATCCAGATATGATGAGACTAATGGCTATCGCATTTGGTTCATTTGCTCTCTCATCCCCTGGCATACTCCTCTCCCCGCTCGTGACTGTAGGCACCCTTATTGCAACTGAATCCACACGTGCCCACCCTAATGCCCAGGGCTCCTTGCAGACACTGGGTCCTGCTGCCTGTGCCCAACCAGTTACACGACTAGGACTTTAGATTCAAAGCCCTCTGGGGCAGGATCTGTCCCTGACTTGGAGTCTGGGCAGCCCTCCACCACCCCAGTGGGGCGCCAGGCTAGGGCTTGCGAGCACCGCAGAATTCTGATTCTAATGGTGGGTCACCAATCCCACCCCTCCAAGAGTGGGGGAGCCTGGTCAGAGAGCAAACCTCGAACCCGCGTGGGGTGACACGCTCCCTGAGGGGGCGCTGAGAGAAACTCCCCAGCAGGCCTATGTGACACCCCCTCCCCTCGCCTGGCGCGGGTTCAGGCGCGACCTCTGAGGGCAGCAGTGGTAGCTGCTGCAATAACCGGAAGTTCCCCTTCTCCTTCCGGAAGTGATGTTAGCTCCCCCTCACCAGCGGCGGCGGCTCTAGACCCGGGCGCGGCGGGTGACGGAGGCGGCGGCCCGAGGAGCGGGCGGGATCATGGCGGACGGCGTGGACCACATAGACATCTACGCCGATGTGGGCGAGGAGTTCAACCAGGTACGCGCGGGCGGCACCGGTCCCTGCGCCTCCCGCAGAGCCGCGCGGCGGGGAGGAGGCGGCGCCGCCGCCGCCATTGTTGGTGTAGGCGCCCGGCCGTGGGTTTCCCGCGGAACGCTAGGCCGCTAGCGCAGGCCGCATGCGCGGGGCCCGGCAGAGGGGAAGATTGGTGGTCGCGCCGCTAATTCCGAAGGGGGTAACGGGCCTCAGCCCGGAGAGCGAGAGCGGCCTGCACCGGGCGTTTGCCACCGCAGCCAGCCGGCCCGCTGCCTCATGGCGCCGCCCCCCTTCGCCTTGTAGGTGCGTGCGCGGGGGAGAGACTGTAACGTAGCCAGCAACAA